AAAATGAATGAATAGAAATCCAAAGTCTCGTAAATGTTCATTAAAATTAATAGTAATTTAAAAAAAAAAAAAGAAAATGCCATCAACAGAGGATAAACTAAATGACTGGGACCTCCTGAAAGTTAAATCCCTAAGTGCATCAGAAGATTTCTCTAGAAGAGTAAAAAGAGAACCTACAGACTAGGGGGTGGGAAATAATCAGCAATGACAAATCTGACAAGAGACTCATCTCTAAAATTTATAGAAAACGTCAAAACCTCAACAAGAGAAAGTCAGACAATCTAGTTACAAAACTCATTGACTTATATGCTAATAAAAGATGCATTTTATTGTCTGTTTTACCCTTCAAAATGGACAAAATATTTGAAAGGACATTGCATAAAGCAAGACCTATATAAATGGCCAATAAGCATAGGGAAAAGTGTAAATAAAGGGCCAAGGACATGAAAAGACATTTCACTAAAGAAGACATTGAAATGGTCAACAAACATGAAGAAATGATCATTGGCTATTAGAAGGATGCAAATCAAAATGAGCTATATCATCTAATCCCAGGAACAAATAGCATAATTCAATGAAACAGTAAACAACAAATACTAGAGAGGATATGGAGAGACTGGAATTCTCATACACTGCTGGTAAGAATATAAAATGGAGTAATTATTAAGAAAAGAAGTTTGCCACTCCTTTAGAAAGTTATGAATAGATATATCATTTGATCCAGCAAACCCACTACTGGGGATATACACCCCTACAAAATAAGAGCTGTGACCACACAGATATATGCACATGTCGGACAATGACTAGGGATGATACAAGGAGAATTGATGCCTTTGAGCTGTGGTGCTAGAGAAGAGTATTGAATGTACCATGGACTGCTAAGAAAATGAACAGGTTTGTCCTGGGGAGGGTGAAGCAGGGCTGCTCCTTGGAGGCAAGGATTCTGAAGCTTCATCTGACATACTCTGGGCATGTTGCAAGGAGGGATCAGTCCTTGGAGAAGGATGTCATGCTTGGGAGGGTGGAGGGACAGCGCAGGAGAGGAAGACCCTCAATGAGATGGATTGGTTCAGTGACTGGGGTAATGAGGGTAGATGTGTTGGAGATGGTGAGATTGGCACAGGATAGGGCAGAGTTTAGGGCTGTTGTACATAGGGTGGCTATGTATGAGTCACAGACGACTCAACGGCACATAACAACAACAACATACTCACTGCAGCATTATATATAATAGTAAATAGACGAATACAAAGCAAGTGTCCATCATACCATGGATGGCTAAAGAAACTAGGTACATTCACAGCATGCAGTACTATGGTAAGAAAAAATGATGCTAAGTAACAATAAATCAATTACAAAGAGATAATTATTGCTCAAAATCACTAAAGAAAGTTTTACATACAGAATCTTCTTGGATGGTTACCAGAAGTGGAAAGAGAGGCAAAAGGTAGTAAAAATTAAGAAATAAATAAGCTGGGTAAGGAGAAAGGCAATATACAATGAGCATGAAATCAGACATTGGTTAGTTGTATTTATACATGATTAAATGAAAAGCCAAAATGATTTAAAAATATTTCTTACAAATAAAAAATTAAAGTCCTACTGAACCAAAAGATATTCAGCATACTTAGAAACTTTGTAAGCAAGAAGTCAAGAAAACTTTAGAAAAGTAGTTGTTACAAGGTAATGAGAGGAAAGAATGACAACCTACTCTGAATCTCCTTCTCTTCAGTTTCGCATCATCCTCTCAATTTTCTTTAATTACAAATCTATCTCACTGGTACTCCATAAACTGCTCGAGATCATTCTAACTCAGAATAATTTTTCTTCTCTTATAATCTAATAGACCACTGTTACTTAACTGCCAAGTATTGTACTCCCAGTTAAATTGTGAATGACATCATAACAGCTCTTGTATTATAAAAATCTCGATTCCTCACCTAGCTGGAAGGAATCCTGGTAGTATAGAGATAACATACCCACCCAGTTGCTAACCACAAGGTCAGAGATTTGAACACACCAATTCTGCAGCAGGAGAATGATGGGCCTTCTCCTCCTTCCTGTAAAGATTTACAGTCATAGAATCCCAATGAAGGGTCACTGGGAGTTGGAATAGCTTCTGGTTGGAATCAATTTTATGACAGTGGATTATGGAACTCTTAGCTGAAGGCATTAAAAAACCACATATTTATTTGCTCATCAAGTCATCTCTACTCTTTTTCTTTATATACATACACACATAACCACCAAATCCTAATGGTTTTACACCAGTTAATTCAGGAACTTAGTATCGCTCAATCAAATCTACAATTGCTTTCACAGATCTGCCTATTTCTAATCTTTATCCCTTTCCAATCTACTATTCTCAGTGCTTTGGCAGTGACCTTTCTAAAAGGCCATTTCATAATAAGCACACTTTACTCATTGCCATTCAAAGATTTTCATAATCTAGATCTTCCTCTTCCTATTAGTTTTAAGAAAAGTGCTAAATGATTGATTATCCAGTTCCAAAAGACAACTGTCATTTAAACTTCAAAGCTCTATTACCATGATTATGTAGTAGAAAAACCAGAGGGGAGAAAAAATACAATTTTAAGAAAGTAACCTTAAGCAAATTAGTGATTAAATAAAAAGACTGGAACAATTAAAATAGAATGTAGCCAATAACAAGAACAAAAGAAATGGATAAGTAAAGAAGATGGCTCTGGAGAGAGAGTGATCAAATTATGAAAATATCAAAAGGAACTAAAAATATTATTTTCCATTGTAATATTTGCATAATAGACTTGATCAATAGACTGTTGTCCACTATAATTATCTGAATTTAAATAGAAAGATTAAACCGAGTAAATATCAGCACATTGTAACAGTTAACCAGGAGCTTTGACGGCATAGTCTAAAGTGTGTTGTGCGGCTAAGCAAAATTCACTTGTCTCCATTAGTTCAAATCCACCAGTAAGAGAAAGTTGGGCAGTCTCCTCCCATAAAGGTTTGTAGCCATGGAAATACAATGGTGGGTCACTCTAAGCTAGAATCAGCTCACTGGAAATGAGTTTGTGGTTTTAGATTTCAGAGTAATTTCTGAAAATGTTAATATGAGTCAGACATAGCTCCAGCCAAGTGCTTTTCCCCCTATGAACAGGTATTAACAGGTATCAACACCATACTAGATCAAAACTGCATGATCCTTCTAAAAGTAAGAAATATGGAAAAACTACAAGTGCTCTAAAATTTCCCTTTTATGTGATAAGAGACTAGCATAGCATGTTATACCCTGCAATCCCAGAGGTACAAGGTTTGAAACCACCAGATGTTCTGCTGGAGAAGCAGGGGCAATCTCCTCCTGTACCAGTCAGATCCGATTTGACAATACACAACAAACAAAAAAGAATAAAATTTTTTAAAAGATTAAAAAGTATAAAGGTAAAGGAATTAACAGTATACATGAAAAAAAAAAACAAAAAAAAATAGTTACCTCTCAAACCATGTTTTTATACTACGTGCAAATGACTCCCCAGGATATAGTTGATTATTTCTTAGATATAAAAGAATCTCTAGTAGTCTGTTTGCATATTGATCATCCTTTATATCTTTTCCAAAATCAAAGAAGGCTTCTAAAGTTTCCAACATAGGATTAAGATTATGACCTAGTAATTCCTGATACAGGTTCCAAGCTGTGTTTGTGTCTTGATGATGGAGGGCTCCTTGGATACAGTCATCATAGTTCCTTTTTGAAGGGATCATGACTTTTTTTATTTCTTCTAACAGCAGGAAGGCCTCTCTCCATCTGTCTGAATGCATTAATCCCCGGATGAGAAGAGTGTAACCCTCTGTTTCCAACCTTTTGTACCTGACTTTCATGATTTCATAAACATCAATAATTTCTGAAGTCTGCTTATAAAAGACACAGAGATACAGGTATTTGACCAGTAAATCATAGCTTACAATACCATTGTTCTTTGCAGCTACCCATGCCAGTAGAGATTTAGCCACATCTAGTGAGCTCTTACTGTAAATTAACTGTGAGCTGATCCAACTTTCAAAACTGGTCTTTCTTTTGAAATTTTCCTTAAGTTTATCCCATTCCTCTGATGTCAAAGGTTTTGTTGGGAGTTGAATTGTGTCATTCAGAGGTGGTGAGATGACAGACTCTTTACTCTGAGGATTCATCTGTGCTCTTTTCTTAGCTGCTCCAGCTGCAAAAAAATGAGGAGAATCAGAAGAAACTTGCTTATTTCTTCTTTTATCTTCTTTCCTGAGATACCGGGTGCTGGTAGCCTGCAGATTAATTGTTTTGGTATTTTGCAAAAAAAGTGTTGCAAGAGAAAACCACCTTGGTTGGTTTCTGATGCCAGAGGAGTCCACTAGAAAGAGGTAAGAGCATCCTGGGCCAAACCCAAGGTATAGATTGTTCTTCCAAAGCTTAGGAAAGCTTCGAAACCCATACAAATAGAAAGTCATTATGTAGTGAAATCAGCACTGGAAAGTGAGAAAGACGGTTCAAAATTTTATCACCAAATAATGGTCTCGAAAGAAGACGACGTAACTTTCCAAAAGTCTCAGTTTCTTTAAAGACAAATCAAGATCAGAAGATATCTTGGTGGTAGGGCACAAAAGTCCTACGCTCCAAATTATAATCTTCTGGCGCTTGTTATGCTTCTATCTGTAAATCTGAGGGAAAAGAAGCAAGAAACGCCTACCCATTTCGACTCACGTGGAACACATGTCATTAAATGAGGCAGGATCCCAAGAACGCCTGAAAAAGAGGCGTAAAGCCGAAGTTCGCGACCTCGAGTTCCTAAATCCAGGGCCAGTTGCAGCACAGACGGAGGCCGAAGTCTGCAGAGTCCTTGCCAAGCACAGCAGCCTTCACCAGACAGCAAGATTGGTCGGACGAGGGTAAAGAATAGGGTTACACAAGTCAACTACTCAAGTAAGACGGTAGGTCCACGAATGGCACAACGTTGACAGCATATCGGTGCATCAGAAGAGAAATTCACTTCAATCTACAACTCAACACCACGCTTACACTCAAGACAGATATAAACGCGGTTGAAACAACAACGCCCACAATGCACTGCGCTGGCCCCAGGGCCTCACTAATCTGTGCGCCGGTTTCCGCTAGGCCTGGAGCCGAGAAAAAAAGGCTATTTTGAGGTCGCAGAAGGCGGATGCTCAAAACGTATAAAAAAAATCGAGGGAACCCTTAGAGCCTCTAGATAGCCACAATGAGCAGTGGAAAGAAACTGTCAAGGGGAAAAAGAAATCCCTCCCTAGAACTGGAAAATGCAGTGGCCTCCTAAGTCACGTGGCATAAAGGCGGCAGATAACCAAGTTGAAAAACTAAAAGCGGGTTTTCCTTATCCTGGGATTTTAAAATAGAGATAGGTTAGCTTGGGGACTTTCTTAAAGAGAACTATTTTCCATTTCTGTTCACACTTGCTTTTCACTCTTGGCATAATCGCCGTTTTCAACGCTACTGCTAACAATCTTTTTTTTGTCATTTGAACCCTGACTTCCGCCCTTGTTAAAGATGGCGGGTTGAGCGACTTTCCCAACACCCGGGTTCCTGGAAGTATCTGACGTCTGAGCTGGACGGGGTGGATCAGTTAGTAAAACAGCAAATACAGAAGCTGCTGCGCGGGAGGCAGCCATGGACTGGAAAGAAGTTCTTCGCCGACGGATAGCGACGCCCGACTCCGGTCCAAACAGTGAGTTTGGGAGGTGCTGCCTCCTGGGACAGCCCGGCCCTAAACTTAAAGGTGGGGGTAAATAATAGGTAGGAGGAGCCACTGGGATCTGCACTTGGCTTCTAAGCATCCGCTCTCTCTTGACAAAAGAGGGGTGGATTTAGGGAACCTGCGAGGTTTAGCTCTTAACTTCCATAGGAAAGAAATGAACTACTCTAAGGTTTTGACTTAGACTTGTGAGAATTAACAGTGAACCCTGGCTTCAACATTTAGACCCCATTTAGGACTTTTAAGCTATTGATGTTACCGCCGTTTTACTTGTTACTGTCACGCTTTTCAAATGTGCTTCTTTCTTTCCTTAATCCATCTTCTATTTTATAATCCATTTTGCCTTTTCCCTCTCCTTTATACTTAACCAACCTGGTAAAATCCGTCTTTCATGTTATTTCCCTTCACTCAGGCCAGCAGAGAGTGACTGGAAAAAAGCAGAACCGTGGTAGTTGTCTCCCTTTTGATTCGTATCCACAAATTTAAACCAAGTCTGTACTCCTTCCACCATGCTTCCCTATACATTAACTCTCCTACACGAGAAGGTATTTGTTCCCATTCTCAGAAAGACGATCCAACAGAATATGGAAACTGTCAAATAATATCATTAATACCATATGCAAGCAAGATCTTGTTGAAGATAATTAAAAACGGCTAGAAGAGAACTGCCAGAAATCCAAGCTATATTCAGAAGAGGCTGTAGCACCAGGAATATCATTGTTAATGTCAGTTGGATCTTGGTTGAAAGCAGAGAATACCAAAAAGATTGTCTATTTTATAGATTAAGCAAAAGTATTTAAATTTATGGATCACAATATATTGTGGCTAACATTGGGAAGAATGAGAACCCCAGAATACTTTACTGTGCTCATGTGAAACCTGGACTTAGATCAAGAAGCTGTTGTCCTAACAGAGCAAGGGAACACTGCATAGTTTAAAATTATGAAAGATGTGAGTCAAGGCAGTGTCCTTTCTCCATACCTATTAAATCCATATGCTGAAAAAATCAATCAAGAAGCTATGAAAAAAAAATGTGGCATCAGAATCAGAGGAAGACTCATCAGCAACCTGGATATGCAGATGACATAACCTGGTTTGCTGAAAGTGAGGAGGACTTGAAGTGCTGCTTTCTGTAGATCAAAAACTACAGCCTTAAGGGAGCTCTGGTGGCCTAGTGGCAAGGCACTGCACTGCAATCCAAGAGGTATGCGGTTCAAATCCACCAGATGCTTTGCTGGAAAAGGAGGGGGCAATCTCCTCCTGTACCAGTCAGATCTGATTTGACGGTACACGTAAAAATAATACAATAAAAAACAAACTACAGCCTTGAATATGGATTATATGTTAAAAAAAAAAAAAAGAAAGAAAATCCTCTGGACCAATAGGCAACACCATGTTAGATGGAGAAAAGATTGAAATTGTTAACGATTTCTTAGTTGGATTGACAGTCAGCAGTTTTGGAACCAGCTGTCAGGAAATCAAAACATTTATTCCACTGGGGAAATCTATTGGCAGAGTCCTTTCCACAGTGCTTAAGAACAAGGACATCAGTTTAAAAACTAAGGCATGCCTAATCCCTGTCATGTCTTTTCAGTTACTTACTATGCAAATTAAAGTTGAACAGTTCCTAAGGATGACAAAAGAAGAATTGATGCCTTTGGGTAGGCGTTAGAGAAGATTACTGAATATCTAATTGAATACCAAAAGAACAAACAAGTATATCCTAAAGAAAGTATGACCAGGATGCTCCTTGGAGGCAAAGATGGTGAAGCTTTGTCTCACATACTTTGGGAACGTTATTAAAAGAGTTATCTGTAGAGAATGACATCATGCTTAGAACAGTAGAGAGGGACAGTGTAGGAGAGGAGGACCCTTAAGTTGGATTAACACAGTGATGGTAACAAGGGTCTCAAGTGTATGGTGAGGATGGCACAGGAAACAGCCAGGTTCAGATCTGTTAATTCATAGGGTTGCTGGGTCACAGTTGAGTCAACTGCACATAACATAACAAAGTTAAAACAATTTTCCCCACTTCTCCTTAAACCTCCAAAATGTCCTTCCCACTCCACCTTACTTTCAGATGATAAACATTGTGAAAAGAGAAACAGAGAACCTTACCTGCACCTGTACCTGTAGCATTTTTATCTGCCTCTGAGTAGATAGCATAACTCTGCCTCAAATGTCAAATAAGCTTCCAGTGCTCCTTTTTGAAATGATCCCTCCGCTGCAACACTAGCATTCTCATTGTTCTGTTCACTGACTTCACTCTTGCATTATCCTTTCTGTATCATCAGATTTTCCTTCTCTTCTGAATCATTTTCATCAGCAGTGACAACATGTACCTATATTTCTATAACTTAACTTTTTTTAATGGCGATTTTATTATAAGTTTATAAAGAACTTGGATTTCCATTCATTCATTGTTGCACCATTTTCTCCCTGCCCTCCTTCCACCCCCCACCCCAGGTTGCTTTTTTCTTTAGAAAAAAGTTCTTTCATTGTTACACAATTTCCACCCCCCACCAGACCACTTTACTATGCAGCTCCTATCCTGGACTCTTGTCATACCAATAATACTTAATCTTATATTCCTTTTATACAGTTCTCTCCCTCATCTGTTTCTGCCATGTACATTATTTATCCTAACTTTGCTTAGTTTCCTCCTAACCCCTCTGTCAGTCCTGGTATTTTGGTTTTGTCTTTTCTATTATTATTAATTTTAATGAAAGTTTACAGAGACTTTGGATTTCCATTCATTCATTGTTGTACACTTTCCTTCCTGCCCACCCCTCCCCCTCAGTTCACGTTTTTCTTTGAAAAGTAAAAAAACTTCTTTCATTGTTATACAAGCTGCTTCCCCCACCCCACCCCCTGCCAAAATCGACTCTACTATGCATCTTTCATTCTGGATTCTTGTCATGATAATAATATCTAATCATATATCCCATTAAACAGTTCTCTCCCTCATTTATTTCAATGCCGTATACATTATTTATCCCTCCTTTTCTTAGTTTCCCCCCACCCCCCCAACCCCGATGTCAGTCTGTTTTACAACAGTGGCATTATGCAGCATTTGTCCTTTTGTGACTGAGATCTTTCACTCAGCATCACATCCTCCAGGGTCATCCATTTTGTATAATAATTCATGAGTTCCTTGTTTTTCAGCGCAGCATAGTAGTCCATTGTTGGAACACACCACAGCTTCTCTAGCCATTCGTTTGTTGATGGGAACTTGGGTTGTTTCCAACTCTTTACTATTATGAACAAAGCAGCAATAAACATGGGTGTGCATATATCTGCTTGGGTGGCAGTTCTGGTTTCTTTAGGGTATATTTCCAGTAGTGGAATTGCTGGGTCAAATGGTATTTCTATTTCCAACTTTTTGAGGAAGTGCCATACTGCCTTCCAGAATAGCTGCACCACCAACAGTGAATAAGGGTTCCAGTTTCTGCACAACCTCGCCAGCATTTGTTGTTTGCTGCTCTGTTGAATTTTCCTATTCTTACTGATATCTTAGAGTTGTTTTGATTTGCATCTCTCTTAGAGCTCGGAATTTTTAACACTTCTTCATGTGTTTATGCCATCTGAATGTCTTCTTTGGTGAAGTGTCTGTTCATATCCTGTGCCCATTTTTCAGTTGGGTTATTTATCTTGTTGTGGTGCTCAAGTATTCTATAAATTCTAGATATAAGCCCCTTATCAGACATGTCATTACCAAATTTT